CCGCGGGGCTGGAACCGGGGGCTGTATGCTGGTGGAGGCAGGTAGGACTCCTGGCTGGACGACAGAGGGGTCAGCTGGGACTTCAGGGCAGCCACCGAGGTGGGCACCAGGGGGTCCTCATTCTCCTCGTCAGACTGGCGGAACTCGGGGTACATGTCCGTCTCCTCCGCAAAGGGAAAGCCCTCGATGCGCCGGCCCTTCACCGGGGGCTCCACCTCAGAGGGCCCCATCACAAAGCGGCCGTCGGGGCCTCTGCTGATGAGCTCGATGGGCGTCGTGGCCTCGGCCTCGGCCTCCGCCTTGGCCACGCTGTACTTCTTGCTGCTGATGGCCCTCTTGGTCTTCTTGTACAAGGACAGCTCCTTCTCCCGGCTGGGGCTCAGCATTCTCTTGGCTGCGGGCTGGCCCTGGTCGTCGGAGGACTCGGAGGGGGCCCGGAGCGTCCGGATGCTCTCTGGGCTCACCTTGCCTGAGGACAGGCTGTGGGGACAGGCGGAGAACAGGAGGGTGAGGCAGGGGACACACGGGCCATTACTCCTTTGTGTTCCCTGAGCCAACACCAACCACAGTCACCAGGGAAGACAGGACTAGGGAACAAGACCGCAGGTCACTGCATAGTTTGGCGTGAAACCCTTGGGCCAACACACTCCATTTGTCTAGGTGTGTATTCTGAGTGAGCACCCGCATTTCTGCTTCTATTCCGCTCTGCCCCACGGTTTGCTGGGCTCTGTCCAGTCCCACCTGCCACTTCACTCCCTCCCAGGTTGCTCGCAGAAAGCAAGCTCATTAGAATATGACAACGCAAAACATATTCAGAAGGCAAATCTGTTAGGATGACCGAAAAATAAATCCCAGAACTACACGCGCAGCCAAAGAGAAGTGGGTTCTCGGAGAATCTGGATCATTTACACGACTGCTCCTTCCTCCGGGAACAGCGCGATCTACCAGCGGTAACCAGCAGAGAAGAGCCGAGACGGGCTGAGCGAGGTGGACCGCCCACTGTCACATCCTGACCGTCCACCCTGACCGTCCACCCGCACACCACAAGCAGCGTGTCCCCCGGGGCTGGGCTGGGCACTTACGGGGACTCCAGGCTCTTCCTGCAGTGGGTGATGGAGAGCGGAGGGTCTGGAAGGAGAGAGGGGAAGACCTGCTGAGGCCGAGACACCAAAACACACGCCAGCGTCGACAGGGCCCAGAGCTGAGCCATGAGGGAGCCCGTCCCCACCCCCAGGCTCTTGCCTTCTCCAGACTCTCCCACGGTCCCCATGTCCTTTCTCCTTCTTTCAAATCAAGTCCCACTGGCAACTCTACCCTCTTCTCAAGGGGCCCGACCCTGCACACAGGCCGTCTCTCCTGAACCCGGGCCAGGTAGAGCCAGGGGTGGGGACCGCACCCACCTTTTTTGCGCTTGAGCTTACGCTTGCGCTGCTTGTTGACAAAGCAGGCGGCCAGGGTGCTGAAGAGGATGGCAGCCGCCAGGAAGCAGATGGTGGCTACGATGCCAGCCAGCACGGGCCGTGCCAGGCCGTCGTCCGTCAAGTCCGGCTGGGGGAAGATGTCTGTGGGGAGGGGCAAGGAGTCCTGGGAGGCGTCCTCTTCCCGAGGCCCCGCCCACTCTGACACCCAGCCCCCATGTGGTGGCCCCGCCTTAAGCACAGACACCGGTACAGCTCAGGCTCAGGCTCCACCCCCGAGGAGGGTTGCCTGGCAGGGGAGGAGTGGAGGGGATGGATTACAGCCAGGGAGCCAGCACATAGCTGGTAAAGAAGAAAGAGCCTCAATACCTTACCCTGTGGGGGTGATCATTTCAATATCATATAATAATCTAGTGCTTATGCCCAGCCAGCGTGGCTCAGTGGTTGAGCATCGACCTATGAACCAGGAGGTCATGGTTGGATTCCTGGTCAAGGCACATGCCCGGGTGGTGGGCTCGGTCCCCAGTGTGGGAGGCAGCCAATCAATGATTCTCTCTCATCATTGATGTTTCTATCTCTC